ACCCAAGGCAGATTCCTGCTGCTGGGAGCTGAACCTACAGGCAAAACTCTGAGCAACAGCTGTAACTCCCTTGACAAAGCAGAGCTCAGTGCCTGTCTCAGTTTCCCCATTAACTGAGCCATTGAACCCAAGTCAGAATTTCTTTCTACTGACTGATCTTAAAACATATTTCCTCACCCTGAGACAAAGGCTCAGAGAATGAGAAAACAGAAGCAATCCCACATTTTCGTGCCTCAGAAGGTCTGTAATCAGCTTGAATACCATATTTGGCTTAAGTCTGGAACAAATGAATCTTCCTCTGCCTTCAGGGGAGAGGAAAAGCATTGTCCGTACCGGACTATGCTCTTCTAAAAAGCCTCTGAAGGCCCTCACCCAGACAGAGCGGACATGAGGCTGCTGACCCACACCTGGGTCAGCCGTGAGCGTCTACCAGTGACGGCAAACCAGGTCCACACACCTAATCCTTTCGATCTGACTACTTCCCGGCAACCACCCTGGAACTCCCTCCCACCAGCAGGGCGGCGACACTCACACAAAGCCAGGCTCAAAGAAACAACAAAATTCAAATGAGCAACAAAATTCAAGTGAGCCAAAATCAGTTTTACTCTCATCATCCCTCAATCTCCTTGAGCTTCCTGGAAGCACCCAAGGCGTCGCAGAATTAAAAAGAGGCAGCAGCAGGGAAAAGGGACTTGCCATTATAGACAAATCAACCTTGGAGCCTGGTGAAATGAAGCGTCCTGAAAAGGTGAAGGGAATCATCTGGCTCCCTCTGCGAGAAACTAGGAAGCCCAAATGCACCCAGAAGGAGAGGCCAGCAGTCTGCTGTGACCAGGGGAAGGAACCAGGCAGGTGCCAGTGTGTAAAACCCTGATCTGCTGATCGACACGCGACGAGGCTGGACCTAGGAGACATTGGGGGCCCTATACTCACTTTTTAAAAAAATATATTTATATATTTATTTATTTGGTCGCACCGGGTCTTAGTTGTGGCACGCAGGCTCCTTGGTTATGGCATGTGAACTCTTAGTTGCGGCATGCATGTGGGATCTAGCTCCCTGACCAGGGATCAAACCTGGGCCCCCTGCATTGGGAGTGCAGAGTCCTAACCACTGTGCCACCAGGGAAGTCCCGTACTCACTCTTTAAACCTGGGATACAAGTCTGGTTATTGAAACTGAGCAAAACTCAACTGGGATCCTTCCTATAGGTGAACCACCATCATCTAGCTGCTGGGTGGCCCAGGAGTCATGAGCTGACATCACGGGAAGCCTCTACCCAGGGCAGAGGGTGAGTTTGAAGGGTAAAGGGGAGACAGTACATGAATGTGCCCTTGGAAGTAGAAATCACTATGTAGGAATGAGGTGATAGTTACTATTAATGTCTAGTACTCAGGAAGCTAAACCAGTAATTCTTAAGAAGGTGGAATTCCACGTTGCCCTGGGAGAGCTGGAGAATAGAAACCCCTGTTTTTTACCTTGGTGTTTTGCTGTTGATGGGATCAATCTGCACAAGACAGAAGGCACACTGACAGCACCTTCCAGCCATATCAGGAAGTGCAAAGGTTGCACTGTACCTCTGTGATCTTTCTCCAGGAAACCCATCACTCCATTCTAATCAATGAGAAACAAAACAGGCCAATCCCAGTTGAGGGAGAGTATACAAAACCCCTGGCTAGCACTCCTCAAAACTGTCCGGGTCATCAAAAACTAGGAAGGTCTGAGAAACTGTCACAGCCACGAGGAGACATGACAACTAAATGTAACGTGGGATCCTGGATGGGATCTGGGAACAGACAAAGGGTGTTAGGTAAAAACTAAGGAAATCTGAACGGACTTTAGTTAGTAATAATGTATCAGTATTGGTTCATTTGCTTAACAAATGAATCATACTCATGTCAGACGGACGTTAGCAAAGGGAAAACTGGATGTGGGGGTAAATGGAAAGTCTGCATTATTTTCACAACTTTTCTATGCATCTAAAACTATTCTGAAATTTTAAAGTTTATTTTTTTTAAAATGTTGCCCACGGGGAATTCCCTGGCAGTCCAGTGGTTAGGGCTCTGTGCTTTCACTGCTGCGGCCTGGGTTCGATCCCTGGTCGGGGAACTAAGATCCCACATGCCATTCGGTGTGGCCAAAGAAAAAAAAAGAGTTGCCCAAGGAGATAACTGCCAGACAAAAGCCTGGTGCCCTTCTATCCAGGCAGCGAGGTGGTGATGAACTGCATGTGGCGAGGAGCTGAAGGAGGGTCCACTCTGACTCTCTCCCTGGGCCCATCAGGAACATTGTGCCAGACACAGTGGCTGCTGCACTGAGAGTTTGCTCTGTGACAAGCGCTCCTTCCCCCAAGCTTGGGGCCACACACACCCTCTCCAGAAAGAGCCCCGTGGCAGGATACTGAACTCTCCGTACTCCACACACCTGATCTTACCAAGCCAGTGCATCCAAGCAGCTGGTTCCCACGTGACCTTGTCCTTCCCTGGTGCCCAGCCTGCCCACACGCGCCTGGCTCGGCTGGCCTGCCACACACCCCACCCAGGCTCTCCTGCACATCCTCTTTGATGTCCACCCAACTATGCACCCAGGACCAGTCCCGCCAGTGCCCTCCCCCCCTGCTTTACCGGCCCAAGCACTGATGAAAGAGAACTAGGGAACTTGAAAAGCAGAGAATGTAAGGTTGGGAGTGGTAATAATATTAGCATAAACAATGTTGATAACAGCAATAATAGTAATAGCTTCTATGGATCAAGAGCTGTACATACTATGACGCCCTGAACTTCCCATGTCATAGCACTACCATGTTATGTCAGCCAGGGTGTAACAGAAACCACTTTCAACAGAGGGAATTGAACGCAGGGATTGGTTTCCCAGAGGAGAAGGGAGATGAGAACTCAGCTGGGACTGGTGAAGAAACCCAGAGACCAGCAGCAGCAGGAAGCGCCCACCAGCCAGCCCTAGGCTGCAGGAGCAAGGGGCGGGGGTGATGTGAGCCTGAGCGCAGGGCTCGCCCCCAGAAGCAGGAACCTCAGCGGAGATTCAGCTGTTGCCACGGAGGCCAGATATCCTGTTTCCCCATTCCTTCCACCTGCTTCCTCCCAACCTTCCTCTAATACCCGCCGCTGGTCAAACGCAGGCACGAGGTGGCTGACGTGGGAGCTGGGGGAACACATACTTCGGAAGCCACGCCACCCACAGCTCCCCCCCCCCGCCACCGTGATACACAGCGGATCAGGCGGGCCCACTGAAAGTGCTCGTCGATCGCTTAATCCTTACAAGACTGAGGGGGGCTGCACTGCCTCTACCACGTCAATCTCCAGCTCCCAGCATGCTGCCTGACACACTCACACTCAAAGGGATGTTCAAAAATGAACAAAGTAGTATCACCCCTACTTTTCAGATGAGGAAACTGAGGTTCAGGGAAGCTAAGCACACTGCCCCAGCTCACAAGGCTTCGTGAGCACAGGACCGGCACTCGGATGGGAGCCCCGCTCCTTCCCATATACCCCTGAGGAAGCTGGGCAGTGGTGCCTCTTTACAAACAGGAAGGAGCAGCCGATCCCGGGGAAGAGCCTGGAGGATGCACGAGTCAGGGAAACCACACCCGCTGGGATGAGCAGACAGGCACCACCGGCCCCGGCCCCTCTAAGCGCTCAGTGCTGGCGGCCACTTACAAACACAAAAGAGGGGAGGATTTCCCGTGGGTTTGTGAACGTGAATGGGGGGAGGCCGCAGGTGAAGGGCTCCCTCTCCCCCCGCCCCAGGAAACATGCTCGCTCCCCCTTTCAGCACTACCTCCCAAAGACGGTGCAGCTGGACATAAGGAGGTCTCAACAGCGTAAACAGCATCGTGTCCTCTTTTTCTATATAGATCCACTTTGTAGAAAAACATAGCCCAAACCAAAGCGGGCTGGAATCCAGACAAAGCCTCCTCTGCCCATAGCCTGAGATTAGTATTCCTGTTGCATCCTGCAGCAGTACCACCGAAAGTTATCAGCAGGCAGACGGCCAGCTTTCCATCTCAAGAACTGCAGCCCCCAGATTGCAGCTGCCCTTGCAGACGTTAGAGGAAGATTTAGAGACCCTCGAGCTCTCAGCCAGCCCTAAGCCTCCGGGAGGAATCTGATGGCAAGAGGCTGCGGAGTCTGCGGAAAGTCTCTTGCCTTGAAAACGTTACTTCAAGACGTGGAATAACCTTCATGAGCAGAGGCAAAATAGTCCATTCTAGATTGGGGCATCTGTTTTCCCTTTAGCCACAGCCCAAGCCTGAGGGCGCAGGGTGCTGTCCGCCCCTCGGCTGTGGGCAGTTGCTGGAGAAGCAGGTGCACAGGACAGAGGAGGAAACTCCAGGTGGGGCTGGAAGCAACATGCTCTGGAGCGAAGGTGAGGGGCCCGTGGTCACTGCCAGCCAGCCCCCTCCTCTCCACTTGACACTGGGAGTTCAGGAGCCTCCATCGGGGTCGGCTTCCCGGGGTACCACCTGCACAGGTGCACAGACCCCACAAGTGGGCCCCGCTTGTTTTTTACTTCTTAATTCATTTTTGATTACTCATTCCTTTCGTTATTACTGTGATGATTTTTAAGTCTCCTAGCAATAACACTTCGGACTTTGGAACTGTTACCTTTGTTCTTATTAGAGATTCTACTGTGTTACTAAGCCAGAGTGCCTTCAAGGGGGAACTTTTTTTTTTTTTTTGCGGTACGCGGACCTCTCCCGTTGCGGAGCACAGGCTCTGGACGCGCAGGCTCAGCGGCCATGGCTCACGGGCCCAGCC